AGGCAGAGAACGAGTATGCGGGGGCACAGGCACACGTTGCCCTCGTTGAACGAATGCGCAAACGGGACCCCGCCTCTGCTCCAAACATCGGCGATCGTGTCGCATATGTCATTGTCCGAGCAGCAAAGGGTGCCAAGGCGTACGAGCGGAGCGAAGATCCCATTTATGTGCTGGAAAACAACATTCCAATCGACACCCAGTACTATTTGGAACACCAACTTGCACCGCCCCTTCTACGCGTGTTCGAAGGCGTCCTAGATGACCCTAGCGTCCTTATTAAGGGAGACCACACACGCCATATCTTGGTCTCAGCACCCAGCAAAAATGCGGGGGGTTTGATGAAATTTGTCAAGATTCAGCTTCAATGCATCTCATGCCGGGCCATAATAAAAGAAGGAGCTCTTTGTGATAATTGCCGGCACAAAGAAGCCGACGTCTACGGGAAGATTGTGGCGAAAAGAAACCACTACGAGGCGATCTATTCTCAGGTTTGGACTCAATGCCAGCAGTGTCAGGGATCACTGAATCAGGAGGTTATATGCACAAGCAAGGATTGCCCTGTGTTCTACATGAGAAAGAAGGTACAAAAGGATGTCAAGGAGCAGCAAACGCTGTTGGATCGTTTCGGAGTCGTGGATGACTGGTAATGTTAATGAAGGGACTCTTTACTAATGGGAATAGAGGGACCCAACCATCAAATAAGAAAGAAGAGGAGGGGCTTTGGTGCAAGTTGAAAAGAAAAGAAACCAGCGCCTTCCTACCCACAGGCGAGGGGGGGGATAGGGGAAAACAAATTCCTTGGTAGAAGGGACTTGGGTGTTTTGTGTATTCTAGACTTGTTTGAATTCTGTTTTTTATCGCTTCCATTTTCTGTATTTTTGTGCCTTAACCACTATGTCACACTGATGCTTCCTGAAGGTATTAATGATGACGACTATGCATCCGAGTCGTACCGCCAGGCAACGACAGGACTTGCACACTGCAAGTGATATTGATCGTCGCATGAACGACCTTGCAGCTGCGGAGTTATATGAACAGATATTACTTGGTTGTGTGCGAGCCGGGATGAATCCCAATGATAAGAGTGATGCGGAAGAATACGAAGGGTATATTGCACCAATTTACGACCCTTTGCATGCTGCTCGTGTGGCTGCAGAGAAGCGTTCGCAACTTGTGGAAATCTACCATGAGCGTGAGAACATCATTCGGACACTTCGTTCCTCACCACAGCACCAACAGCTTAGTGCTTTTGATCGTCTTTTGGTAGAGACGGAGTACTGGACAGGTGTGAGAGAGTGGGGCGGTGACACTGAGGGCGGAAATAAGAGTCGGCTTCGTCGCCACCACAGGGACACGACGGATGCAGAATCCCTGGGGTTTGATGTGCTGCACCTCACTGAGACTCCGTCATACATACGAGGCAAACTAAGGCCTTATCAAATTGAGGGGGTGAACTGGTTGCTGGGTCTCTTTTCTTGCAACATAAACGGCATTCTGGCAGACGAGATGGGCCTTGGCAAGACGCTGCAAACGATCGCAACTTTGGCGTATTTAAAATTCACTTACGGTCTCCCCGGACCGCATCTTGTCGTCTGCCCGAAGTCTGTCATGGGCAATTGGTACCGTGAACTCAAGCAATGGTGTCCGGCCCTTAACGCCTTTAAGTTCCATGGGAACAGTGAGATTCGTCCACAGCTCATAAAGTCACATCTTCAGCCGCACGACAAGTTGAAGTACGACATAATTGTGACCACATTCGAGATGGTAATTGAGGAGTTACCAACGTTTAAGCGCATCCATTGGCAGTATTTGGTTGTGGATGAGGCCCACAAACTCAAAAATGAGGAAGGTCGCGTCCACACCGCATTGGATTCCCTTAACACGAATCATCGTCTTATTATTACCGGAACTCCACTGCAGAACAATCTCAAGGAATTATGGGCCTTGCTGCACTTTCTCGCACCTCGCCTTTTTGAAAATGCTGAATCCTTTGAGGCGTGGTTTGACACTGCGAGTGGGCAGCAGGATAGTAATGCCATGTCCAACATGCACAAGATACTTGCCCCTCTTATGATTCGTCGCATAAAATCGGAAGTCAGTACCGGTATTCCACCAAAAAAGGAAATTTATGTCGCCTGCAAGTTGACCAAAACGCAGCGGAAGTGGTACATGCATGTATTGGCGAAGGATGCGGAGGCACTGAACAAGGCTTCTGGAGGTAGCATGTCTTCTCTTACGAATATCATGATGAACTTGCGCAAAGTCATTAACCACCCGTATATGATGGATGGTGGCGAGGAAGGACCACCGTTTATCACAGATGAGCGCATCGTGAAACACAGTGGGAAAATGATGATTCTTGATAAATTATTGTATCGCCTCAGAAGAGAAAAGGAAGAGAAACACAAGGTTCTCATTTTCTCACAATTTACTACCATGCTGGACATTTTGGAGGATTACTGTGGAATGCGCGGATTTAGGGTGTGCCGTATCGACGGCAACACGAGTGGATACGATCGCGACGCCCAAATGGCAGCTTTCAACTCACCCAACAGTGATTATTTCATTTTCCTACTCTCCACTAGAGCGGGAGGTCTCGGCATCAATCTACAGGCAGCAAACCACGTTGTTATCTATGATTCTGACTGGAATCCACAGATGGATCTACAGGCACAGGATCGGGCTCATCGAATCGGGCAGAAACGGGTTGTACGGGTCTACCGTTTTATAACAGAGGGTACGGTGGAGGAAAAGATTTACCGCCGCGCACTAAAGAAACTCTACCTTGACGCAATGGTGGTGCAGCATGGGCGTATGCAGGGACGTGGTGGAAACAATGTCTCCAAAGAGGAGCTTCTTTCTATGATCAAGTTTGGTGCGGAAGAGATCTTTAAGACCAAGGATGAAGACATCACGGAGGCTGATATTGATCAACTCTTTGATGGGGAGGAGAAGTCGAAGCAACTTACATCTGCTATTAAGGAACAGATCCAAATGTCATTGGCAAGTTTCCAACTTGGTGCAGAAGAGGCAAACGTTTATGACTTTGAAGGCGTCAGGTTTAAGGACGGCGTCGAGTCGCGTATGCTGCACCTCTCACTTACAACTCCTGTTTCGCAGGATGAACTGCAGCGGCAGTGTTCTGAGCACGGTGAAGTAACAAAAGTTGTCTTGCATCCAAGCCTTTCTGAAGCCCTTGTGTTTTTTCGTTCCACAAGTGGTGCAATTGAGGCCAGGGATAATCTACCGTACAAGTGCCAATTCGCTGCGAAGGACTCACAAATGGTTGTACCCACGGAAATGATCACGGAATATTTAAGCCTTGGTGAGAAACTCGGGCGCGGTCACCGTGTGCGGGAGGCACTCCACCATTATACACAAGAAGACGTCGAGCGTATACAGAGTTCTGTCACAAAAGCCCCTCCTTTACGCCTTCCAAAGTGCCCCAAGTTCCCACCGCATCAACTTTACAATGTCAAGCGGTTAAGGGAGCTTCACGCAACGGAGGTTGCTTTGATGGTGCAGAATTGGAAACGAAAATATGAACCGTCGGACGGTGTAGATGGAGACCAGCAAAAACAACAGGTGGGGGTGGAAGGAGAGGCCACGGATCGTAACGTGGGGAACGAAGATTTGGTGGAGGACGAGACGTTGACGCTCGTGGAACAGGAGGAACGAGAGCGGCTTCTTAATGAGGGGTTCGCCAGTTGGAGCTTTCAAGAGTACCGTCGACTTGTTGCGGCACTCACCAGTGGTGCGTATGATGTCACTGATTACCCAAGAATTGCGAATGCCGTTGGCTCTGATAAGACAGTGGGGGAGGTACGTGATTATGTGACGGCTCTCCTTGAGCGTGGAATGCAGTGTATTACAGGATTCGCACATATTGAACAACGTATCAGGAAGTCCCAGGAAAAGCGGAAGAGGAGGGATGACGAACTGCGCGCCGCCACGTGGAAGGTTGAGAGTTATGACCATCCGGAGTCACACTCACCTTCAGAGGACGCGGAACTCATGGATTTGATCGTCGACTTTTCC